TGAGGGTGCACTCAATCCCCTCATCCAGATCATCAGTGAAGATATTGAACAGGACCGGCCCCAACACTGAGCCCTGGGGAACACCACTCGTGACCGGCCGCCAACTGGATTTGACTCCATTCACCAGTCAAAGCATTTATGTTACTGCTTATATAATCATGGGTCACAATAAGGTTTATGATCCAAATTTTAGTCATCTGGATTTGAAAATACATCAGCAAAAGTCCACAGAGCCTGCCAAAACCTCTCTTCAAGAGGAGTCAAGATTGCACAGTGCTCAACACCTTTATGGAAACAACCTTCTATCAAAAGCTTAAGGAAATAATTTTCTTCCTTTCCTATCGAATGATGCGCCTAATGAGTGCCTCTGTCTTGTGAAATCCTTTTGCTGCATCTCTGACATAAACGCAAGCTTCACTCCTGATTAACCCCATTTGCTCTGCGGCAAGCGGGGCAGAACCCTGCCAAGCCACGATAAGCCTGGGCGTAAAGCTTACAGAGCAATCGCTGTACAGGGAGGTGTTTGTTCAATACATTTCAGCACACAGTTACTACAGTTGGAAAATATGATTAAATAAAACAGCAGCCCACTCTCCTTCTCTGCCTAACAGGAGAAGCGCCTGCTCTCTGTTTAAATGGGTTCTGGTGCGCAGTATGAAACTTAAGGTCTACTTCTTTCAAAGATTTATTGGTATAGGAAAGTACTTACTTTTGTGCAACAAAAGAAGGATCAAAGAACTCAGACGTAATCCTGTTTGCATACAGGGAACAACTAGTCATAGAGCACAGCCCTGAAAAGCATAAGACAAACCATTCAGTGGAGCCAGCAGAAGAGCTTTGGGCCTGACTCTGAAGCCAATGAAGTCATGGAGACTTGTGCGTGGATTTCTGCAGAAAAGCAGCAGCTCTGGTATGACTTCAAATACCCAAAATTAGAGAAATAAGGTATATTTACCAGAGAGTATGAAAATCAGTCCAGCTAAACAAGCTATTTTTGCTTTAGTCTGATCGGAGCCTCCGACTTTTGTACACTTCATCCCAACCAGTCCAAAAACGGCACCGAAGAAGCCCAGGCAGACGGCGGAGATCATCAGCCCTCTGCAGGCTTGGATGTAACCTGCAGTGAGAAAGAGTAAGGCTAACGTGAGAACTGGGACCATAACAGGTTTCGCTGCAGCTCCTTTCTCTCCGCGCAGCGTTAGGCATTCGCTATTGCAAACCGAATCAGACCTTGGCTGGAGTCACGTCACCTTGCCATTGAGTGTATTCTCTTAGGTGATGTATGCCCTTCACAGGGCATCATCACCTGAGCCCAGCTCATAAGAAACATACTATGGTATTCAGGGCTGCAAAAAATAATCCCGTGGCATCGGGTACAGTATCTGCAAGAGGTTGTACCCATGAGGTTTTGAAGAGCTACTCCACATGGTCTGTGCAGTGGCTGCCACAGGTTGCAGAGCCACTCTGTGCCCACAAAACAAGCCTTACATGTCCGTCTTGTTGTGCGTGTGCGTTGCAGATGCAATACGACTGGCAGCAGATTGACAGCGCTGACCCTGGCTGGGGTCCTGGGCCTGCCTGCATTTGCCACTGATTTGATTTGGATCCAAGAAGGCCCTCATTCTACAAGGAAGTCAAGCATGCTCAGCTTCATGGGCAGCAGTAACCCTTTGAGATAAAACTACTGCCATAGTTAAGCCTGGACAAATGTGGCTGGCTTTAGCCACATACAATTTTGCTGTGCTGGCTGAGGCTGCTCTGAGCTGGACCTCCCAGGGCAGGGCCTTTGAGCAGGACAACGGGTTGCTCGGCCTCCTCTCCCTTCCAAGAATATCTCGTAATTGAAAGACTGTGATAATTTCATATCACTGTTTACGGGGTGGAACACTGCAATCTTGCACAGCTGAATAACCATCACAAGATGTTTTTCTTCATAACCTGTTGTTACATCTCATTTAAAATGAAAATGTACTTCCACTGTTAGGGTATTCATTCTTTTCGCTTTGATCTCCAGTGGGTGGAAATGTTGAGAGCTAAATCACATTTTCATTGCCTATTACACCAAATTTTACGTAATAACAAACAAAAAAAAAACCTGCATAAAAGTCTTTAATATATAGGAAACTAATATATTAAAACAGGAACTAGAGGACATCCAACGAAAACAGAAGGCAGCAGATTCAAAACAAAAAGTGCGCTTGTTCATATGACTAAGTTGTGGAACTCCTTTCCACGGGGTCTGTGGGTGCTAAAGGTTTACAGAGATTCAAAAAGAGACCGGATGCATTCATTAAAAAGAAACCTGTGTCTGGCTGGCAGGTCCTTGAGCTGCAGATGGCTATCACTGATGCTTGGCCGCCTTCTCCTTTCCTTACTGCCACCCACTTTGGCTGCTGCTTGGAGGCATATCAGCTCCAGGATGACCGCGCTGTGTTTGCACAATATTTTTAAAAACCCCATTGATTCACAGCTTTGAGCAACAGGCAGCACACACGAAGCAATTTGTACCACATAACACCGCATTCTATCAGTCCTACCGAATTCAGGTGCAGTGCTGCACGCCTGTGAACGCAACCTACTGCCGTTTACCTACATCTGTTGGCACGCATATAGACTTCTTTCTTTCATTTGCAACACGTTTCTGTAGCCCATCTGCTAAAGAAATACAATAGCCAATGAAATAACTGTAGCTGTTGTATGGCTGTCATGTTGGAATATAAGAGAGAGAGTCATTGGTGCCTGCTGAAGTATCTCTTGTTATAATTAGGTATGTTAAGTCTGAACTATAAGGTAGACTCCTATGGTAGAAGGACGAGCCGCCCTCTGGAGAAACCTCCTTTTCTCCATTCATGATAAATGAAGCGGAGAGCCTAGGGTGACTCACAGTGAACAGCCCGATTGCGGTTACCTAAAATCCGGCGAGATGACCACCTTTCTCATCCAACTGGGCAGAGTAAAATTTCCTCAACAGTGACATAAAACCATACTCCCAAACAGTTCAGTTCAAACTTGGGTGACAGGTACACCTCTGCTTTTGAGTCAAATCCCCTGTTCTTACTCCTTTTTCTTCACTCGGGCAAAACCCAAGGGATGTCAGTAGGAAAAGGGCTTTACGAAGATTGCAAAAGGTGGTTCTTAGTTTAGAGAACCCAAGTCTGAAGAAGGCAGCCTCGCTTTGTTAGTTTTTGCTATAGGCATGGAAAAGTTGGCTTTTACTACTTTTGATGGTGTGTAATGTATTTCTTGTAGCACACAGGTAAAGCAGGAGATGAAGACTGGCAAGGAAGCTATTATTTTTGACAGGTCCAATTTATTGACACCGTTAGTAGCTAATTGACACATTAAAGTGCTGAACCATGAACATATTTACCCAGAGGACCTCTAAACTTTTATTTATGTCTGAACCTCCTAGGAGAAACAGTAAATATTCACCCCAACCAAAATAACCAGCATATGCTAAAAAACACATGGCTGAAATTCATCTGTTCCTGAAGGTCAATACGCAGTTTTAGAATAGGTAGAGGGTAGTGAGACAGCAAGAAATAATTAACTCGCTCACCCAGAAATCATTTTCAATTATAAACAGCATGAGCTGAAGGACTGCTCGGTTCTGCTGAATGAATAACCTTCCTCACTAAATATTTCACCGAATTGGGCAGGCCAGCCATAGTGGGACTTGTTTCAGTTCACCACAGCAATCATCCAACTGGCACACATTTTTAAAACAAAATATATGAAAAAAAATCACAGTCTCTACCAGTAACACAGAAGAGCAGAAGACTCTGTTAGTCCCACTGGGTTGACTGGAGCATTAGGAAGCATGAAAGGGTGAAATCAACCTTTTCACCAAATCCAGCCTCCTATTGCTTGGGCCCTACATTAAAACTATGTATAGCATCTGGCTGTAAGAGTAATTAAACTTTCTCTTTGCTTCCTAGAAAGCAAGAACATTGCACTGCTCACCAAGGTTTATAATGCAGAGAAGAGTAAGGGGGAGCTGCCTATTTCTTCACACTCCTCCACTCAAGACCAAAGATTGTCCCCTTTCCAAATATTTATTTTCTGTATTTGCACCGGCTCCTGTAGGAAGCTTGCCATGTACACGTTGACCACCCAAATGAAGCTCCCAAGCAACAAAAAGCTGTATGTTTTAAACAGACAAGCAGACAAACATGAATTACTCATAAAGTCATGTTTAGCAGCATTCCAAGAGCAACCTATTTCAAGGTGGTTGGTTTGTTGTTTTTTTTTTTTTTAAACAAATGTGTTTTGTCTTGCATTCAAATTAATCTTGTTAGATCTTCATCTTTCTTGCCTCACTGCTTTCACGCTTGCCTCTCATGCTCACAAAGAGTTAGGAGGAATCCATATACTCCTATCATATGACACTCAGAAAAAAACCATATGCAAAGTTCTGAGGACTGTCACTTTCACAATAAATGCCTTTGGTGGCATCTTGCAGTCTGCATCACGTGAAGCATAAGAGGTTGTCTTACAGATACAGCGCAGATTCCTTCTAAAAGTACACAAGCATTGCTTTTGTATGGTTTTCTAAGCTCTAATAGCGTCTTTTAGCTCATAAGTAAATTTTTGTTCAGCTCTGTTCTTGCAAAAGGTCATCAGATCCACTGTTGGAAACACGGTAACTGATATGTCCCCTTTTGGGGAGGTGGTTTCACCACTAAGTTTCTACCCATGACCAGCAGCACACAAAAGTAAACCCAAAATGATTGTAAGTCCCACAGACAGCAAGAATATTTTTGCTTGCATACAGAAAGTGGGGCTGAGCCCTTCACGAGGGCTGGCCAAACTGATTTCTTGTACAGGAATGCATAAAGGGGGAAGAGCATCACATGCCATTTTCTCTGGCAGCTGCTCGTGTGGAGTGATGGCCTGAAAGCCGTCAGGACAGTCCCGCTGCCGGGCCACTCTACGGCAATCCGGGGGGCACAGTCCAAGACCACTCCGTGATGCAAACCAAAACAAGGGTAATGGCAAACCGTATCCAGATCACTCCTGACCCAAACTATGACATTGCCTCTGCCAACCAGCATGGTGACACCGCAATTTGTTGCCCCCTTGTTTTGCCTCTGATCCTCTGGTGGACCTGAGTGGTCTCTCCAGACAAGAAGTCCAGCAAAACTCAGAGGTTTCGATTTGACAAAAAAAACATTTCCATAGAAGAGGAACTGCTCTGCGAGGCAAATCCTCTCCAGTTACGTGAGGAAGGAGTGGAGTGGAGCCACCTTTCCCTGAGACAACAAAAAGAGTTCTAGTAATTTCCCAGTCCTGCCCTACCATTTCGAGGAGAGCAACACATTATTCCTGCATGTATCTCGCTAGGGTTATTGTTTCTGCTCACAAACACTTCAGGGAAAACGGGAAGCCAGATCTGCCCTTTTGTGTCTTACGAGTCCCCCAGCTGAGGATGGAGTGAGGAGGTTCCCATGTTCCCAGTCACAGGGAATGGGATCCGGATTAGCCACATAAATCTGTGCAAAGAGAAGGGGAGGGGCTACTTGATGGCTGAGGCAGATTCGGCTTCATGCTGACATACAAACCCTTCTAAGCTACATGTGACACACTGCAGCCCCGGAATACGCTCCTGCACCGGGGAAGGGTTAGGGCGAAAAGGGGACGTACCCATCCACTGCCAGGAGGTAACGGGTTCCCAGCAGAGCCCATAACCGCAAGGAGGGGAGCCTGGGCTAGGCTATCTACTGACAGCAACTCTGGTTGTGGTGGCTGGCCCCCCCCCCCCCCCCCCCCTGCCCGGCCCGGGGTGTGGGGGGTGGAATACGCTCCTGCACCGGGGAAGGGTTAGGGCGAAAAGGGGACGTACCCATCCACTGCCAGGAGGTAACGGGTTCCCAGCAGAGCCCATAACCGCAAGGAGGGGAGCCTGGGCTAGGCTATCTACTGACAGCAACTCTGGTTGTGGTGGCTGCCCCTCCGCCCCGTCCCAGCTTGCCTGGCCTGTGCTGTGGGGGTTACGTTACTCTCTACAGCCTGCCTTTCATCCACATTGTGCCTGGGTACCAGGATCTGAGATGTTCTTGAGCAACACTGAAGCCAAGCTTCCTTCCGCTACTGATAAACTGTCTGGCAAGGGCCTTC